GGCAATGGGTATCTCCAGATTTATAAAGTAAGTAATACGTATTATAAACTATTTAAATAATTTATGAACATTTTTTTAATATAAACATAGTTTTAAATAAACTAGGATGTACCTACAACGTACAAATTATGACCTTAAAATTTGATTGCAATCAACGAAAAAACTTTATATCATATTATGTTTTGTAATTAATAATTAAAATTAAAAACGAAGATAGGTGTATAATGTAAAATATTCATAAATATAAAATATAAAATAAATTTGTTTATTAACAAAATATATATATTTTATTTTGTTCAAAAATTATGATTAGGTAGGTATATAAGATACTAAAACAGATTATACCATAAACGATTTAAATTATTAATTAAAAAATAACTATTATTATTCTTTTGCGCAAGGTGGTGTTCATAAAGTTAACTTAATAATTAATGTCATTAATGTTCAACTTATTTTAAGCTTACATCTGGTTGTTAATTTTTATCCTCAAAATTATTATTTTATTAACGTTGTGTACTTAAGGAATTAATTTAAAAAATAATATAACGTGTATAGGCTGTTTTTTGTGCTTAACACATTTACACATTTTTACATTTTTACATTTTTACTTTAATATTTAATCAATAAATACAATACGATAATAGTGTGCCTCAATCGATCCCCTTGTACATATTATTGTGAACAATTATAATATTTTGTCGGAATGAAAATCGATTTAATCGTTGAGCAGCATTATTGAAATAAGAGATTTTTGACTTAAAAAAACGTATATTTATATATAGTTATAATATTATGTTTCTTGGTAGGTAATCTAAGTAATGTTTTTTTTTTTTTAAATTAATTTTGCTATTGAATGTTTATTTAGCATTATTCTACTGTCGACAACCATCAAGTCAAGTTCAATTTCATTATTTTAATTCCAATCAAAGTTAAAAATTAATTTAAGAGTTTCAAGAATTTAATAAATATATTTATTTTCTCTCACAGACCCACACTTAACATAGATAAAATATGACACGCTTAAAGCCGGGTCCACACTAGGGCGAACATTGTTGTCGAACATGTTCGTTGAGAATGTTTCCTTTACTCGACGAACCAGTGCTACTGTGCTTTGAAATGTTCGACAACAGTGTTCGTTCAATTTACACAAAGATTTCCCGCCTTGGCAACTTAAACATTTCCCGTCATATTATCTATTTTTATATTAGTAGGTACTTACATCTATTGCGGTGTGGACGTGTAATTGACAATTTTTTTAAAATATTTATCAATTTTAATTTTTTTTTTCAATATGAGTGATGAAGATATAATAATTACAAGTGCAGCTTTTGTTTTTACATCGTTAGTTTCTCGAGTAAAGAAAAATAAATCTTTACATAAAAGACGTTGGTGGCAACGTACAATTTTTGAAAGTAGATGTCGTTATAATGGAAACGATTTATTAAATGATTTAAGACTGAAACATCCAGGATTCAAAAACTTTATACGGATGTCACCAACAGATTTTGAATCATTGCTTGAAGTTATTGGTCCTCAAATTGGAAAGGATATAACTCATCTAAGGGAAACGATTTCACCAAACGTGCGGCTGGCCGTAACATTACGTTTTTTGGCTACTGGTGATTCGTATACAAGTTTAATGTATCTTTTTAAAATTTCCAAACAAATAATATCTAATATAGTTCCAGAAGTATGTGAAGCTATAGTTGAAGCCTTAAAATTATATGTTCAGGTAAATATTAAAAACCTAAATAGTAAATTATAATATTAGTTATATTGACATCGTACTATCAATAATATATTATAATGTGAATAAAATGTAGATAAAAAATATGTAAACAATATAGGTACAAACAGTTTTATTATAATAGGTAAAAAAACAAGTTATTAAATAATGGCTGAAACTTTATTAAAAACAAAAAAAAAAATAATTAAAATCACTTTTGGACATAAGTATATTATTTATAAATTATATCCCCAATATAATAATAAATAAGATTTTTTAAGAAAAATTAACATATTATATTAATTATAAATCAAAATAAAATTATATTAGAAAAAAAGAGTAATTACTTACTATTTAGATAAGGATACGCACTTTGTTATCTCTCTCTAGTGATAGCAGACGTAGTATAACTTTTTAAATTAATTAATAGTATAATATGGTGGAGCGTTTTCTTGTGTATTTAGAGAATATTTTCTTTCATTTGTTGGTGTAAACGGTATGCCGGAGTTGGGTAATGGACTCAAATTATTATTTGGAGTGAAAGATGTTGCAGTAAATAAAGGAGAGAGTGTATTTCCTGAGGATGTACTGATAGAATATAAAGGAATAAAAGAATTATTACTTGAAGACGGACCGGAAAAATGTAAAGGATAGTCAGGTTGTTTATTTTGTTGTAGCATTAACATATCCGATTCGTGAAGAATACAGTTAATTTTGTGTTCTGTATTTAGACGAATAAAATCTGCATAAGACCTAAGTTTGTTAGCGACGTGTTCACCATATGTAGTCGCATTGTCCTTTATTTTATTTTTTTTCAGCATAAGTTTTCAGTATAGAATAAACCTCATCTGTTTGAATTTTTTTTTTTTTTTTTTGTCTTGGCGATGAAAATCTCTTTGGTCGTTGTGTAATTTCCCCATCACCATCAACATTCAACACTATCTACCACAATGTAGTCGTCTTCCACGCAATCTTCATCATCTATTTCTTCCTAAACAATAATACCTAATTATGTATATACATAATATACATAAAACCGATGCATACACAGGGAGGGGCTAAGGGGCTATAATAGGGGCTCAAATCATATAAAAAAATGATTTTAAGAAAACTTTATAGCCCCCTCACCATAGGTGAAAATATAAAATATAAAATAATATAAAATATAAAATATAAAATTTCTGGCTACGCCACACAGTGTTATAAAAAACAATTTACCGTAGAATATATCAGAATATTATAAACTGGTTTATTTTGAATCGGTAATTTGGTTCTTTACTTCCTTATTAAGTATGTACAACGTGTATAGTTATTGGAAAAAAAAAATAATTTAACGTTAAAAGTTAATCATACACCAAATTACCAAAACCGTGGTTTTTATAATAGTACGTTATATTTATTCAAAGAATACCATGTTTGTAAATATTACAGTTGAAAATGAATGCGAAAAATGTTTATATTTTTAAATAGTTATCAATTTCCTTTACAATATGTTTATACTGAACAGTTGGTAAATTAAGTAAATTTAAGTATCATTTCTACAAAGTTCAAAAAAAAAAAATGAATTAAAATAAAAAAAAAAATTGGGTAAGTGGATATTGCTCTGCTGTACAGACGTACAGTAGGTTATAAGTGGGTTACTGCAGTTTAATGGATGGTACCAAATTTGAATTCATTCATATAATATCATTGTATAAAAAACGATTCTGAGCGGAGACGGTTTGTCAGTGTGGATTCTGGGTGGAACGATGAATGTATTGATTTTACAATGATGTGTGTTTTGGTTTTTGGTGTAACTCTAAAATAAAATATGAACATGAAATACATACATACATATTTCGTGTATATATATGACATTTTCACTGGTCGTTTATATATTTGCATTTTCTATACACGATAAAATTTTCAAAACATTTTGATTTGTTTTGAACTGTTTAGGAACATTTTCTGTTTCCAATTTTATTAATCTTTTCTTCTATGAATGTCAATAAAACTTTATTTGATGGGGAAAAAAGCATGAAAATTTAATACAAGGCTCATGATGTATTGTTTAAATGGTAGTTAAAATATATTAAAAATACATAGGCACAATTTTTTTTATAAGCATTTAAGGTGGAAATTTTGACAACATTTATCAAATTTAAAATTTAATAATTGTTT